TAAGTTTTCCACACTGAGATCATACTCACTAATTAGACCATATTCAGGACATACAGGTTCCTTGTCTCAGGGTAGGTTCAAATATAGAACCGAAAAGAAAATCTTCTGCTTTGGAAGGATCTATCCGTTTTTACTCCCATTAGAGCTGCAAATGTACTGTATTTATGGAATACATCCTATAGGGATTTTGTTTTAGGTCCTGAATGGACTTTGACAGGATGCCATAAAGTGTTCTTTATTTAGATTTTGTAAAGAAAATTACAGAAATATCACACAGGTATTTGTGTTTCAGTAACTGGTGCTTAAATCAATTAAATGATGTCATCAATTGAGTGATATACTCTACAGATAAAAGACCAGACAACTTCTTACAGTTTCTGCTGTAGTTTTGACTAAGTGAAGACCAATGGCAGGGGGTGAGGAGGATGCTAAGAGTTAGAAGTAAATGTTTTTCATATTCAAAGAAAGAAAACAAAAAGACTGTTTTGACCAGTGTCTTCATTCATGACAAATAAACACCATTAGTTAAAATACATCAAATCTACACACACACTTTGAAACCAGCCAGTTAGCACCCTTGCTTTTGAAAGTTAGAAAACGACTGATAATCCCAATCTCCTGAAAGCCAGTCAGTGTGGGTTCCAGACAACACCCAGTCAGCCACTGTCCCACACCAATGACCATGATTCTTAATATCAGCTAGTCAATACCAGCCTTACTACTATGAACAAGTAAGGTGAAAGTCCTCCAAAAACTTGCCTCCCATACAAGTCCATCAATCTCCAAACAACTAGGATTTCCAAAACCTTATGGAAAATTAGCTCTGCCTTTGCAGTCACATTTTACAAGTACAGCAATCTTTTGTGGCAAAATACTGTTGTGTGTGTGTATGCGTGTTAGATGTCAAGTTAATGCACTGTGATGGTAATCTACAGAATTCTCTTCTCAAGGGTTCAGCCAAATTTCAGGTAGGGATGAGTTTGCATTCATGAGTAACAGACACTCTTTTGTGACTACTAAATTATAACAGACTCTTTTAAATTCCCTCAGTAGTTGCTATTATCCACTTGTACATATTTTTGCCATAAAATGTAAGGGTAGGGATGAGCATTTGGCACAATGGTTGAGCTGCTGCTTGGTATGCCCATGTTAGAGTTCCAGCCCTGTTCCAGATTCCATCTTCCTGCTAATATGCACCCAGGAAAGCAGCAGGTAATAGCACTTATACTTGCTTCCCGGCCACCCATATAAGAAGCCCAGGCTAAAATCTAGACTCCTAGCTTTGGCCTTGACCAGTCCTTGCTATTGATGATATTTGAGGAATAAAACTTCTCCGTTTCTTTTTCTGTAGTCTGCCCGTCATATAAATGAAAATAATTAATTTTTAAGTGCAAAAGCAAATTTTATGAAAAAATTTCTGAACAGTGGACATTTACTAAATAAGGAAAAATTATCTCTTGAATATCTGTGTGTTATGCATTTGTTAATTCAGTTATGAAAAGGATGAGAATAGGGCCAGCACCACAGCTCAATAGGCTAATCCTCCACCTGCGGTGCCGGCACAGCAGGTTCTAGTCCCGGTTGGGGTGCCAGAGTCTGTCCCTGTTGCCCCTCTTCCTGTCCAACTCTCTGCTATGGCCCGGGAGTGCAGTGGAGGATGGCCCAAGTGCTTGGGCCCTGCACCCGCATGGGAGACCAGGAGGAAGCACCTGGTTCCTGGCTTCGGATCAGTGTGATGTGCTGGCCACGGTGGCCATTGGAGGGTGAACCAGTGGCAAAAGGAAGACCTTTCTCTCTGTCTCTCTCTCACTTTCCACTCTGCCTGTCAAAAAAAATTTTAAAAAAAGAGAAAAGGATGAGAATAAGATATTAACCAGCTTATATAAGCTATGATCTTCAACAAGGACAAAGACAAAACTGTTTTTATGAAGAAAATTCAGATAAACATAGATGTGGTAGCCTTCCATACTGGACATTTCTTTAAGATTTCTAATTTTTTTTTTAATTTTTTGACAGGCAGAGTGGACAGTGAGAGAGAGAGACAGAGAGAAAGGTCTTCCTTTGCCGTTGGTTCACCCTCCAATGGCCACCGTGGCCAGCGCGCTGCGGCCGGCGCACCTCGCTGATCCGATGGCAGGAGCCAGGAGCCAGGTGCTTTTCCTGGTCTCCCATGGGGTGCAGGGCCCAAGCACCTGGGCCATCCTCCACTGCACTCCCTGGCCACAGCAGAGAGCTGGCCTGGAAGAGGGGCAACCGGGACAGAATCCGGTGCCCCGACCGGGACTAGAACCTGGTGTGCCAGCTCCACTAGGCGGAGGATTAGCCTAGTGAGCCGCGGCGCCGGCCCCATACTGGACATTTCTTATCAGTTCTTCAGCTCAACTGAATGAATGTAATACTACTGAAAATATCTGATGATTCTAAAATTTTGAGAAAATTTTCAAAAGATTGAAGCTTCAAAAATATTGATTTTAAATATTATTATAACTATTTTCTTTCTTTTTTTTTTTCCACAGGCAGAGTGGACAGAGAGAGAGAGAGAGAGACAGAGAGAAAGGTCTTCCTTTACCGTTGGTTCACCCTCCAATGGCCGCCGCGGCTGGCGCATCGTGCTGATCCGAAGTCAGGAGCCAGGTGCTTCTCCTGGTCTCCCAGGTGGGTGCAGGGCCCAAGCACTTGGGCCATCCTCCACTGCACTCCCGGGCCATAGCAGAGAGCTGGCCTGGAAGAGGGGCAACCGGGACAGAATCTGGCGCCCTGACCAGGACTAGAACCTGGTGTGCTGGCGCCGCAAGGCGAGGATTAGCCTGTTGAGCCAAGGCGCCGGCCTATTATAATTACTTTCAAAGATATAAATGTCTCAGCTTTATATAGTATAAAAATGGATGCAAGTAGTCATAAAGCAGAAAAAATTCATTTGTTTGTTACAACATTTTTTCTCATGAAAAGTCTTGTTAATAAACTGAAATTGGAGAGGCAATAGAAATTTCATTGCAGAGATTGTCTTAAGTTAGCAGTAATGAGGAAAAATTACTGCTTTTGGTGCAGGTAACGCAAATATAGATTTAGTGATTGCTGAAAGGTGAAGACAGTCTTTATCGGAAATTAGGGCAAAGCATGAATCATCCTACTGAAGTTGATGGCTGTCTTATGCATATTCTAATACTACTACTCAACCATCATTGGATATCCTTTCTATTGACACTAAAGTAGTTGTTTTCAAATTACACTCTTTAGGGGTCAGTGCTGTGATGCAGTGGCCACATCCCATATGGGTGCTAGCTCCAGGCCAGGCTGCTCTAATTCACCTGAGAAAGCAGTGCAAGATGGCCCAAGTCCTTGGGACCCTTCACCCATGTGGGAGACCCAGAAAGACACCCAGGCTCCTTGCTTCAAACCAGCCCAGTTCCAGCGGTTGCAACCATTTGGGGAGTGAACCAGTGGATGGAAGACTCTCTCTGTCTCTGTCTCTCTCTCTCTCTCTCTCTCTCTCTAATTCTGACTTTCAAAAAGTAAATAAGTCTTTAAAAATTACTGTCTTTAGTGTTTATTCTGTTCCAAATGAAAAATAAAAGAATGTGATTTCACTGCTACTCAGTATTCTTTATTTCACAAAACATCCATGCACCATTTTATGAAAGTAAAATTGATAAAATTCTCCAATTTATTTAAGTTTCTCGAAAAAGATGTAAAAATATCATTGACACACCTAGTAACTCATTAAGAGTAGCCCAGATTATCTTTTAGCAATAAGGTCATGCAGTGTTCTTGAAATCTCTTTAGCTTTAAAAAACTCTTTAATGTGTTAAAGAAAAATTATGGAATATTTCTTTGGTCTGACTGTATCCTTTCCTGATCTCTGTCTTCTAAGTCCGATATTCTCTCTTCTGCTTCACCCATTCTGTTTGTAAGGCTCTCTAATGTGTTTGTCATTTGATCTATTGAATTCTTCACTTCATTATGATTTCTCGTCACTATCACAGTTTCCTGTTCTACTAGTTGTTTCATTTCGATTCCTCCTTAATATTTCATTTTCACGAGAGAGATTTTCTATCTTGTCCAATAAGGATTTCTGTAGTTCAAGAATTTGTTTTTGAGAACTTCTTAATGTTCTTATCAATTTTTTGAGATCTGCTTCTTGCATTTCTTCTATCTCATCATCTTCATAATCTTGAATTGGGGTGTCTTTTTCATTTGGGGGCGTCATAGTGACTTCCTTGTTTTTATTACCTCGGTTTTTGCGTTTGTTATTTGGCATATTGGAGATATTTGGTTTCTTCACTGTGGTGTTTTTTCTTGTTATACTATGACTCTAGATTAAGTGGACTGTTTGTTTTTGATGGAGCCTTAGAGGCTTGAGATGGGTGTGGCCTGAGAGCTCTGTTTGGTGTGCCAAAGGTGACACTCCCAGGTTAGGCGTGGTAGATCTCTCTCTCTTTCTTTCTTTTTTTGATTCAAAAGGGAAGTAATTCCGCACAGCTGAACGAAGTTGGAGGAATATTGTATTGTTTTAAGTGTCAAGACTATTCTTGAGGGGCATAGCAGGTAAAGCCGCCATCTGCACTGCCAGCATCCCATATGGGCGCCAGTTCAAGACCTGGCAGCTCCACTTCTGATTCAGCTCTCTACTATGGCCTGGGAAAGTAGTAACAGATTGCCTAAGTCCTAGGGTCCCTGCATCTGCATGGGAGACCCAAAAGAAGCTCCTGGCTCCTGGCTTCAGATTGGCTCAGCTTGGCCATTGTGGCCATTTAGGGTGTGAGCCAGTGGATGGAAGTTCGTTCTCTCTCTCTCTGCCTCTGCCTCTCAGTAATTCTGCCTTTCATATAAATAAAAAAAATCTTTTTTAAAAAAAGACTGTTTTGTAAAGGGATATCATCAGTTGTAAAAGAGAAAATAAATTTCAATTCACAGTGTATAATTGTTAGGTCAATTGTATAACTATCTTTGAAATGGATGATTAAATTTATGTAAATAGATATTATATTATTTTCGGGGGGGGGACAAACCAGCTTCATTATGTACAAGCAGCCCGCGGTCACCCCAGCTTCGTGGCCAGCTCCTTGGCCTTGGCCTTCTCCAGCTTGGCGATGCGAGCCACGGACTTGGGCCCCAGGACGTTGCCTCCCCAGTGGCGGCGGATCTCGTCGTATCTGTCGTTGTAGTTGGTCCTGATGGCCTCCACCAGCTTCGCCAGGGCCCCTTTGTCCTCCGAGTTCACCTGCGTGAAGGCCACGGTGGTGCAGGTCTTCCGGTGCACCAGGCGGCCGAGCCGGGCCTTGCCCTTGAGGATGCAGTAGGGGACCCCCATCTTGCGGCACAGGGCGGGCAGGAAGACCACCAGCTCGATGGGGTCCACGTCGTGCGCGATCACCACCAGCTGCGCCTTCTTGTTCTCCACCAGGGTCGTGACGGTGTTCACGCCTGCCCGCAGCACCGGCGGCCGCTTGGTGGGCACGTCCCCCTTGCCGGCCGCCTTCTTCTCGGCGCGCGCCAGCAGCCGCTGCTTCTTCTCCTGCTTGGTCTCAGGCCGGTACTTGTGGGCCAGCTTCAGCAGCTGCGTGGCCGTCTGGCGGTCCAGCACCTGCGTGAACTGGTTGATGGCGGGCGGCACCTTCAGCCGCTTGTACAGGATGGCCCGCTGCCGCTGCAGCCGGATGTAGCGCGGCCACTTGACGAAGCGCGTGAGGTCCCGCTTGGGCTGGATGTCCTGTCCGATGCCGAAGTTCTTGGGCCGCTTCTCGAACAGCGGGTTCACCACCTTCTTGTCCCAAGTAAAGTCATGATGTGTAGTACTGAATAATAAAATAAAAGTTAGAAATAATGCTTTTTTTGGTAGAAAAATGTGATCAAGATATACAACATAATGTTGAAGAATGGAAAAGCAAACGATGGCATGAAAAAATAGTATTATATCTTTCCACAAAACCAATTTGAAAGTCAATTCTCAGAGTTATTAACAGTGCAACTGAACTAAATGCTAATGCTGAGTGTTTTCTAATAGGTACTTGAGAAACCTAAGGACAAAATAAGTTAGATGTAACCATAGTAGAAGCTCTTTTACAATGAAAATACAGTATAAGTTGTAACTAAAATAATTTCATAGGTAAATTATGCAAAAAATGAACTATTAAATAGTGTATAACCAAAATATCAAGGAAGCAATTAAGACAGGTGATTAAGGCGGTCAAATAATTTAAGATAAAAAACAATTTTTACTATAAATATGCCCTATGAATGTTTTAGATTTTATCTTTCAGTGTGCAATATATATCTAATTAGAAATGACTCAGAGTTAACTGGGCATTCTATATTTTGTATTTGCCTGAAATGACAACACCTCAGTGCTATACAAACATAAAGTATTTGCATGTGAATTTTGAGACTGGAGGTCAAGTGGGCAGTGCTGCTGATCTGGGCCAGCCTTGGCTAATCCTGTCTGATCTTCTCCAACATCGCAGTCTGCTGTTCTCAGATGACCTCACATTTTTCGTCTGTTTGCTGACTGTTGAGTGGGCATTTGGCACAGAATTGAAGTCAGTGCTTGTTACTCCTGCATCTCATACATGAATGCCTGGGCTTACAGCCTGGCTCTGCTTCTTTAAATGTCTTTTTTATTAATTAATTAATTAATTAATTAATTTTGACAGGAAGAGTTAGTGAGAGAGAGAGAGAGAGACAGAGAGAAAGGTCTTACTTTTTCCTTTGGCTCACACCCCAGTTGGCCATTATGGCAAGCAGGTTGCGGCCGGCACGATGCGCCAATCCGAAGCCAGGAGCCAGGTGCTTCTTCCTGGTCTCCCATGCAGGTGCAGGGCCCAAGGACCTGGGACATCCTCCTCTGCACTCCCAGGCCACAGCAGAGAGCTGCACTGTAAGTGGAGCAACTGGGACAGACTCCGGCGCCCCAACCTGGACTAGAACCCGGGGTGCCAGTGCACCAGGAGGAGGATTAGCCCAGTGAGCCATGGCACTGGCCCTTAGAGCAGGTTTTACAACTACCAAGAACTTATTGGGTATTTTATTATAAACAAGAACACACACTTGCACACAGCTGCACACCCATGAGGGAAAACAACTTGAAACTACTTCATATGCCTACACCAAGGTAGGGGACATCTTCATCTCCTGTTTGTGCTGCTTCCTTCGTAATACACCAGGAAAACACAACAGGTCTTGGAAACCTGCTTTATTTGATGATAGTCTCAGATAAGAGGAAGAGTATTATTATTATTATTATTATTATTATTATTATTATTTTGGCAGGCAGAGTGGAGAGAGAGAGAGACAGAGAGAAAGGTCTTCCTTTTTGCCGTCAGTTCCCCCTCCAATGGCCGGCGCACCGCGCTGATGCGATGGCACGAGCCAGGTGCTTCTCCTCCTGGTCTCCCATGGGGTGCAGGGCCCAAGCACTTAGGCCATCCTCCACTGCCTTCCCGGGCCACAGCAGAGAGCTGGCCTGGAAGAAGGGCAACCGGGACAGAATCCGGTGCCCTGACCGGGACTAGAACCTGGTGTGGGGGCGCCGCAAGGCGGAGGATTAGCCTAATGAGCCGTGGCGCCGGCCCACTCTGAAATTTTTTATAGTTGGTCCTTATATTTTCCCAAACATGGTGGCTCCTCAGGGACTCTTCCTCAAGAGGGTTTAGCCTGGCCCCCTGAAACCCAGGGACCTATTGGACACCTGCCCACTGGCCTCTATTATGCAGCTGACCAGGGAAGGCTCCATCTGCACAGGGTGGGACCCTCAGGCTGCCCCAGCCCTGTAGGCCCACACATGCCCCACATCCAGCTCCTTCTCTGCCAGGCACCCTGGGTCACTTGCTTCATCGCTCAGTTCTAACCTAGTGTTCATGAGGGTGAGCAGTGTGATGGCATCTAGGGGCAGGGTCCTGGCCCTGTGGAGACTGTCTTACATCAACGAAGTTGTTCCTGAAATTGGCCCCACACTTTGGATGACAAGGGGGCAGAAGACTCCCTGCAGGACCCCAGCCTACCTGCAAGTAGGCAGCTGCTCAGATCTTCCTCCTCCCCAGGCTCCACCTGCTCCCTCTCTTGGCAATGCTCCAACCAAAAGGTGGATGTTGGTGAAGGGCCAGAGGCACTTGGAGTTTAAGATCCCAGGGCTCTGTGACCACAGGCATAGCACAAGGTTGTGTCTCTCTTCCTTCATGCAGTATCCGAGTCTGTAACTGCTCATCCTTGGCCTTGGTGTCTGCTCACTCCTTGACCCACCACATCTTCAGGGCCCTTATCTTCTCAAAGCTGCAAGACAAAAATTCCAACACAAAACAGCACTGGATAAACACAGGGGACTGAAAAGAAAAGGAATTTTGAATGATATCTCCTTTGAAGAAATCACGCAGGGGCCAGCACTGTGGCATAACAGTCTAAGCCTCTGCCTGTGGTGCCAGCATTCCTATGGACACAGGTTCGAGACCCGGGTGCTCCACTTCCGATCCAGCTCTCTGCTATAGCCTGGGAAAGCAGTGGAAGATGGCCTAAGTCTTTGAGCCCCTGTACCTGCATGGAAGACCTGGAGGAAGCTCCTGGCTCCTGGCTTCATATCAGCACAGCTCCAACTGTTGCGACCATTTGGGGAATGAACCAGTGGATGGAAAACTCACTCTCTCTCTCTGTCTCTCTCTCTCTCTCTCTCCTTCTGCCTCTCTGTAACTCTGCCTTGAAAGCAAATAAACAAATAAATCTCTTTTTAAAAATAAAATGAACTCCAGATCACTAAATTATCAAAAATTAGTGACCTATAACTGCAGAGGAACATAGAGGGAGGGAAGAAGGGAGGGAGGGAGGTATGCTGGACGAGTGGTATCATGGAACCAGCCCAATCACAATGGTGTCCTTCAGGGACAGGCTGGCCAGGGTCAGCCTCCTGATTCCCCTAAATAGTCAACCCCCAGAGGTGGATCCTGGGGTATCTCTAGGGCACAGGTGAAAAATAGGATCTATAACAGATGTTCTATGTATTCAGGTTTGTCAGTGATCTCTGTACTTGCTATACAAGGTCCAAGGTACCTACAGGTCTCTACATCCTGCCCTTCCACTTCCCTCAATGCAACTACATTTTGTAACAACATCTAAGGATTTTCATTTTGAATTAAATTTGGTGCAGTGAATCCCCACACAAGCCTCCCAAATATTCCAAAGAGCCCATACTCTGCACCTATCCCTTTACTGACCAGAACTGGAGAGTCCAGGGATAAAACTTCCTGCCACATGACAGTCCTCATTCCAGAACTACTGATCAAGCCTGATTCTTCCTGCTGTGACCCTGCCCCAGTCCACCCTGGTGCTGTCAGCACATGGCACCAGGGAGTCCTCCAGGGATGGTGAGGAGAAGAGCAGCTAACTGAGCACAGCTTTCTTGGGACCTTGAGTCAGGCAGGGCCATACAATCCGTAAGAGGAACAAGGACTCCTTACTGGATTCAGGTGAGGATTATGGGATGAATCACTGATTTCTCCTGACACTCATGCCAGCAACACTGAGCTGATGCTGAGAGTACCTAAGAGTTCTGGGCATTAGGAGGCCCCCAACTCAGAATGCTATGCATCCCAGTCACCAAGAGCAGCTCCCTCTCTGCAAATCCTGCACCTCCCTGTTCACCTCTGGCCCCTGCAGTGGCTGCAAGGTTGGTGTGTTTGGTGTTGGCTGGCAAGCTCTAGTTCCTGCTATGTTCCAGCTGCTTCCTGTTCTTCCTGACCCAGTGAAACATGCACTGGACTCGCGAGTGCACTTCCTGTGTGTGCCTGTGTGCACGTGCATATGCCCATGAGTGCCCCCACTGTGTGCATGTTCTACCACTCCAGCAGGGCCTCGCTTCTTCTTTTTTTCTTTTGACAGGCAGAATGAGAGAGAGAGAGAGAGAGAGAGAGAGAGAGAGAATGGTCTTCCTTTTTCCGTTGGTTCACCCCCCCAAGTGGCTGCCACGGCTGGCGTGTTGCGGCCGGCGCACTGTGCCAATCTGAAGCCAGGAGCCGGGTGCTTCCTCCTGGTCTCCCATGCGGGTGCAAGGCCCAAGTACTTGGGCCATCCTCACTGCACTCCCAGGTCACAGCAGAGAGCTGGACAGAAAGAGGAGCAACCGGGACAGAATCCGGTGCCCCAACCGGGACTAGAACCTGGGTGCCAGTGCCGCAGGCAGAGGATTAGCCTAGTGAGCCGCGGCGCCGGCTGAAGGCCTTGCTTCTTCACAGTCAATGCATACAAGTCCTTGTCACTGTTATGTCTTTTTTTAAAAAAATATCTTTTATTTATTTGAAAGTCAGAGTTACACAGAGAGAGGAGAGGCAGAGAGAGGTCTTCCATCTAATAGTTCACTCCCCAATTGGCCGCAAAGGCCAGAGCTGAGAAGATCCAAAACCAGAAGCCAGGAGCTTCTTCCAGGTCTCTCCTTAGGGTGCAGGGGCCCAAGGGCTTGGGCCATCTTCCACTGCTTTTCCAGGCCTTCGCATAGAGCTGGATGGGAAGTGGAGCAGCCGGGACTAGAACCGGTGCTCACATGGGATGCTGGCACTTCAGGCCAGGGCGTTAACCTGCTGCACCACAGCACCAGCCCCAACTGTCATGTTGGGTGCTATCATGAATGAGGGTGTTATTTGTTGCAGCAGGTGCTCATCAATTTCCCCACCATACTCCATGGGCCGCCATGGGGATGTATATGGGGGTTGGCAAACTTCATAGCTGTGAGGAAGCTCACCTATTACTAGGGAGGCCTAGAGTGCCAGGCACAGAAAGACAAAAATGATTTCTTTTTTTTTTTTTTTTTTTACTTATTTGACAGGTAGAGTTAGACAGTGAGAGAGAGAGAGAGAGAAAGAGAGAGAGAGAGAGAGAGAGAGAGAGGTCTTCCTTCCATTGGCTCACCCCTCAAATGACCGCTACCGCCGGCACTGTGCTGATCTGAAGCCAGGAGCCAGGTGCTTCTTCCTGGTCTCCAACACAGGTGCAGGTGCCCAATCACTTGGGCCATCCTCCACTGCCCTCCCAGGCCACAGCAGAGAGCTGGACTGGAAGAGGAGCAACCGGGACTAGAACCGGCACCCATATGGGATTCCAGCACAACAGGTGGAGGATTAGCCAACTGAGCCATGGCACTGGCACAAGACACAAATGATTTCACCCAAATGGGAATATAGTAAAGTCGACCTCATGGAAATTAAGGGTATATTGGTGGTTACCAGAGGATGACAGGAGTAAGGAGGGAGAGAGGATAGGGAAAGGCAGATGGTACAAACGGTAGATACTAAGCTATTCATAGGAGATGGAGGTTCTGGTGTAGTTCATAGTAAAGCAACTCTAGGTAATGATAATGCATTGTTTATTTTAAAAACTAGAGGAAAGAGCTTTGAGTATTTTCCACACAGTAACCACGTGTGAGGAGACATGTTTGTTTACCCTGACTTGAATGTAATGCAATGTATGCATATCCTAAAACATCAAATGGTGCCCCATAAATAGTAATTTTTAATTGTTTTTTATAGAAATTATAAACTTTTATTTCAGTTAAAATTCTAAAAACATATAAATTTTAAAAAGCCAGAGAAAGGAGAGAAAAATAATTACTTAAAAGCACAACCAAATAAATAATAGAGAACAGAACAGAATATAAATGAAATGTAAAAAGGATTATAATAGAAAAATTAACATTTTGAAAAAACAAAGATAAGTCAACACCAGGGATTTAATTTAAGAGCAATTTTATTTTCTAAAAAATATTAGGATCCTAATACAAGAATATTAGGAAAAATAATAAATAAACCGTATATTAGAGAAGAACTCAGATTGGAAGGTGAGCATGAAAAAGTCAAAGATATTTATTTTAGGAACAAACAAATGGAAATAAAATTTTTACAATAAAATTAAAAAAATACTTGGGGACAAACTTGATAAAGGCTATGTATTACTAATATACTATGAAAAATAAAATATCAATGAGAGTGTATAAACAAGATCCAAAAGGATTGGAAAAGTACAACATGTTCATTGACTATAAAAGTCCACATTGGGGTGGTCACTGTCATGCACTGAGTTGAGCTGCCATTTCGGATGCACATTCATATCAGACTGCCTGGGATCAAATTCCACCTCCCAAGGTTATCTTGCTATCTGACAGTGTGTTTGGGAGGCAAAGTTGATGTACAAAGTCACCATGTGAGGATATTTAGATGAAATTTCTGATTCCTAGTTTTGTAGGTATTTGGAAAGTAAACACAGATGGAAGATCAATCTCTCTTCACCTCTCTGTTACCCTGCCTTTCAAAACTCTAAGTTTTGAAACATGTGTTGAAATAAAATATAAAAACTCAGTTATGAAATAGGAATTGCCCTAATTAATTTTAAAGTATAAAGAAATTATATCACAGAAAAGAAATGTCATCATAATTCCAACAGCTCTTTGCATGTGTATGTGTGTGTGTGAGTGTATCTGTGTGTGTGCACTCATGTGAAAACTGAAATTGTTATTCAAAAATGTATTTTAAAATGCAAAGGATATAAAATATTCAAGCTAATTTTCATAAAGGCAGGCCAAATATTGTGCTTATAAACTACCTGATTTCAGAATTATAATGGCACTGCACTAATTTGATTATATAACCCGTAGAGTCAAGAAACTGACCTGAACATTCAGCCTGTTGATATTCAACTAAGAGACTGCTGTAATCAAAAGTTAAAGGTCAAAATTTTGGGGTTGGCACTGTGGCATATCAGGTAAAGTTGTTGCCTGAAGTGCCAGCATCCCAAATGGGCACCAGTTCAAGTCCTGGCTGCTCCACTTCTGATCCAGCTCTCTGCTATGGCCTGGGAAAGCAGTGGAATATGGCCCAAGTCCTTGGGCCCCTGCACCTGCTTGGGAGACCAGAGGAGGCTACTGGTTCCTGGCTTCAGATCAGCCCAACTCTGGCCACTGCGGCCATTAGGGGAGTGGAAAGGTAAATGGAAGACCTCTAATCTCTAATTCTCCCTCCCCCGCCCCGCCTCTGCCTCTCTGTAACTCTGCCTTTCAAATAAACAAATATTTTTTAAAAGGTCAGAATTTTTATGAATGATGCGGAACACCAAGATTGATGGAAATAAGTTTACTTTGATCTCTGCACAGCAACCCATATACACTCACATATACACACTCACTTTAGTAAATTATAGACTTTATGGCAAAAACAAAAACAACTAAAATTTGACAGCAAATATAGGAGA